CACCTTAGACTAACCACAACCTCTTCCAACTAACATCTTCCATCATCAACTTCACCTCTCACTACTTCCCAAAGGGTGACACCCCATGACTGACAATGGAACTTACAAAATTGAAGAACAACATCACATTGCTTAGTCTCAAATGAAAGAATATAAGGAGAGTGTAGTCAGAAACGTTACTCACCTGATTCCCAAGCTTAGAAGCTGCAAAACACATCGTCCCTTCCTTCTCTTCTTACTCACGCCATGAATTTTTTTATGTCTACCTTCATAAATGGTTTTCAATAACAGAGGGGAATTTTAGTCTTTTACACATGATTTGCTAATTGCAATTTAAGACTCGGTTTCTCCAAGCAATTAAACTTATTCAAGTACCCATTTTGCCATTTTGCTAATTAAGGGTCTTTTATTTCAATTTTCCCCTTTTTTTATGTTTGTTGATAGTCAAATGATAATATTTCAAAAATAAAACACATGACCATATATAATTGAAAAATTTGGTATCATATGGATACAATGAACTCAATCTAAGTATTATCCAAAGAAATAATCCTCCGGTTCTTAATATATGACCTAATTATTGAGCTGATTTTAGTCCTAAATATAAGAGCTATTTCTCATATTTATCAGTTTTTTCTAAATTATCCTTATAAATACTCCCCCAATCATAATCAAGTAGATGAGGGAACGAGGATATTAAGAAAGATGATTATGGTGTTTTAAGAAAAACATGTCATATTTTTTATAATTAACTAACCTATCTAACTTTCTTAATATAATCAAATTAGTTAAATAGGTCTTATATTAAGGACCAAAGGAGTACTATAATTTAATAGTGTATGAAATGAAATATAGAAAATATATTATGTTGTGACTTTTATGATTTTTTTACTTAAAACACGAGTATACTTTTAATTAACAAAATTTTTTTTTTAATTAAATACTAGATAACATTACTTAAAACAATTGAAGATTACACCTAGTCTTTCTCATCGCTTTCCTCCTCTAGGCACAGAGGTGGAGATATAAGATGTATATTTAGATGTCATTAATACCTCATAAAAATGGGATTTTCATTGAGTGCTCATCACAACAATGCAATATAAGCAATCCAAATTTAACATGAATTTTTCAGATTTAAAATTTTTAATATACTCAATGATAAATTCATTTTTTTAAAAAGAAATGTCAATTATAAGATTATTTTTATTTTAAATTCTGTGTTTATTATAAAAGAAAATTAAAAATATATCAATAATTTAAATTTAGTATGGATCATCTAAAATGGATCTGGATTATATAAATTAAGATGAGCACTCCATGCTTCATTATGATGAGCATGGAATGTGCTCTTTGAAAAATGTTCCAAAGAAATCTTCTCTTTCTACAAAACAAAGTGCATAAATTGTTCAAATTTTTACGATATTAGGAAAAGGACACTATGATGTGAAAAGTTGTTACTATTGGTAAATATTTTCGAAAGAATAATTTCTTTCTGTTTTCTCAAAACCTTGGAATGCTGGTGAATCATATCCTCACGTGCCTTCACGAGAAGATCTATCTAATTAGAGCAAAAAAACTTTACCAATGGGAAGAAAGAGCATTTTAAACAATACCTATTGATTTAGAAATAATAAAACCTGCTAACATGTTTTATTATCTAATAATTTTAAGATTTTATGAATCTTTTTGTGCCTTTGTTTATTAAAAAAAAATTCGTTCACCTGCTACATTTGAGAAGGAAATAACTAAAATCATTGCTTTAGGAAAGATTTTTTCCGTCCATAAATTTTGCTTTACTTTTTATACATAGGGTTTGAATCCTTCAACGTGTACTCATATTCTAACCCTATCCTTATTCCTTGCCATGTAAGCTAGCCTCAGCAAAAACATTGCTTAACCGTATATACTTAACATATATAATTCTATCCAATCAAATTAGAACAAATGAATTGTAAAGTGTTAATACTATTAAGAATAAGAGCTTGTAATACAATAAATAATATATAAAAATACAGATGGCTGGCGAAAAATAAAAATAAAAATATCTTGGTTTTATATATTCTACACACTACCTATGTGTGCCAAATCTGTATCATGGTTATATTGATTATGTCTTTCTTTCGCTATCTACTAACGCATTGAACTTTCCCAAATACATGGGATCCTCCAGTTAACCGTAGTTATAATTAACCTCCATCTAACCATGTGAAAATGGCACGTGCCGTACTGTAAAAAATGGAGAGAACTTTTCTAGGATTAGGGATTTTGTTTGGGGCCAACAAGGTTTAGGGTTGGAAATTTAATATTACTGCATACGCACACAAACATTGATGTGTATTTAAGAATCTACTTATAACATGAAATCTCGTGATGCCCGAATGAGAGAAAACGGGTCCTGGGCGGTCTACGGGTCAGCATCTAATGGTCCAGTAACGCGCTATTGGGCAGATCCAAGTGAAGCCTTCGCCTCCCCCGCCTGGCGATTTCCTAATCCTCCTCCCCAATTCTCGACTGCCGTTTCAAAACACGCCATGGGGTTCCTCCCCTGTCATCTCATTCTTCTCGCCTCCCATCTGCATGAGAGCGAAGAACTAAGGAGCTTCTATCGGTGTCCTGGGCGCGCTATTGGGATGTCCAATGATCCAGATCCAAGTGAAGCTTCCGCCTCCCCCGCCTGGCGATATCCTCATCCTCCTCCCCAGTTCTCGGCTGCCGTTTCAAAACACGCCACGGGGTTCCTCCCCTGTCATCGCATTCTTCTCGTCTCCCATCTGCATGAGAGCGAAGATCTAAGGAGCTTCTATCGGTGTCTTGGGCGGTCTACGGGTCAGCATCTAATGGTCCAGTAATAATTCATGTGCGGCTTCTATCTCTGTCATGTTTTTGCAAGATCAGAGCTCTGCCGCTTCCGTAAATCCGGTAAGATCTGTACGTTCTTTGAGATTGGAAGATCCTGATTTTTTCATTTTTGTTGGCAAAAGCTTGCTCAATTCCAATGCCCAGCGATCACTGCATTTTGTCTTCTTTTTTCCCCCAACCAATCGATTATTGATTTCAATCATCCCGATTTTGATTCTGAATCTTTCAAAACGAAATCATGAGTTAAACAATTGATTGTTGAGTTCAATTTTGCTTCTGAATCTTTTTGGTGTTGATCCTATCAGCTTAGTTTGATCTTTCTGATTTTGATCTTTTATTTATTTCGGTTTGTATTCCAGATTCAGATTTTTGGTCATACCATTATTGTTAATAATCAATCGTGAATATGTTGTCTTAGCTATTTAAATCACTCTATCAGATATAGCCTGCGGTATCTCACAATCCACACAGCAGCATCGACTTGATGTATGCTTTGCATTACACGTATTCTGAATCCCCCGGTCACTTATTAATTATTAGTTAATTAGTTAATAATAATTAAGACATTGGAGATTTCAGTTTCGACCGTTACTAATAATATATTAGTGTCGCTGCTAAATTCCATCTGTTATGTATCTCTGATATCCGTTAGATGACGCCTAATAATTAGGCCCTCCTTAGTGTTACTAACTTAAACCCTTCCATCTACCTAATCATGGTATCCATTTCATCATATTTAAATTGAAATTCTCCAAGCCCTGCATCTATCATAAACTTGAAGTTCCACACTTGAAATTCAATCATCAGGTACGTTTCCTCACTTGAAATTTTATCATAACCTTTTATTTATCATTATGAATTTTGCATTGATATGAATACCCTTCTTCTACCCGCCTCTTCTTAATCACTGGACGAGACATATGGCTCTTAAAATTTGCTATTCAACATCACCTGCTCGCAATTTAGCTTTGGGTTTAATGACTGATTTTGATCTTTTATTTATTTTGGTTTGTATTCCAGATTCCAGATTCAGATTTTTGATCGCACCATTATTGTCAATAATCATCAGGTACGTTTCCTCACTTGAAATTTTATCATAACCTTTTATTTATCATTATGAATTTTGCATTGATATGAATACCCTTCTTCTGCCTGCCTCTTCTTAATCACTGGACGAGACATATGGCTCTTAAAATTTGCCATTCAACATCACCTGCTCGCAATTTAGTTTTGGGTTTAATGACTGATTTTGATCTTTTATTTATTTTGGTTTGTATTCCAGATTCAGATTTTTGATCACACCATTATTGTGAATAATCAATCGTGAATATGTTGTCTTGGCTATTTAAATCACTGTCTCAGATATAGCCTGCGGTATCTCACAATCCACACAGTAACATCGATTTGATGTATGCTTTGAATTACATGTATTCTGAATCCCCTGGTCACTTATTAATTATTAGTGAATAATATTTATCATTCTGAATTTTGCATTGACATGAATACCCTTCTTCTGCCCGCCTCTTCTTAATCACTGGACAAGACATATGGCTCTTTAAATTTGCTATTCAACGTCACCTGCTCACAATTTAGTTTTGGGTTTAATGACTGATTTTGATCTTTTATTTATTTTGGTTTGTATTCCAGATTCCAGATTCAGATTTTTGATCGCACCATTATTGTTAATAATCAATCGTGAATATGTTGTCTTAGCTATTTAAATCACTCTATCAGATATAACCTGCGGTATCTCACAATCCACACAGCAACATCGATTTGATGTATGCTTTGGATTACATGTATTCTGAATCCCCTGGTCACTTATTAATTATTAATGAATAATATTTATCATTATGAATTTTGCATTGACATGAATACCCTTCTTCTGCCTGCCTCTTCTTAATCACTGGACGAGACATATGGCTCTTCAAATTTGCTATTCAACGTCACCTGCTCACAAGTGCAATTGCACTTATTAATTATTAATAAATAATAATTACTATATTTGAGATTTCAGTTTTGACCGTTACTAATAATATATTAGTGTGGCTGCACATCAGCTTTAGATTTGTTTACACTACATTTTACCAACAATGATTTTGACAATTGCTGTGCTTTCCTTCTTCAGTAGGTGACAAGAAGATCATCAACATACTATGGCTAGCATTACACAAGACCACATCAAAGATATCAATGACAGTAAAGATACATGGGCTATTGTTGCTCGTGTTCTCAGACGGTGGATTGCCTACAAGAAGACTCCACCCTACACACCCTGGAGGATTGGCCTGCTTCTTGTGGATGAGCTGGTAAGCTAGAAATTGGCATTTCTTGATTAGTTAAGATTTACTACTATTAGTTAACCCCACAAAACTGATACAGGGTTATAGAATAGAGGGTTTTGTAACACAAAAAGGACTGTTTGAGCGTTACAAAAATGAACCCAAAGAGGGTGGCGTATACCACTTTGAAAACTTTGAGGTTGTTGACAATGGAGATCAATACAAAGTTACAGCACATTCGTGGAGGCTTAAGTTCCATGCTACTACCTACTTTGAAGAATTAGTTTTGCCAATTCCTGGTGAGGCGTACAACTTTGTCCCCATAAAAGATATTGCTGAATTCACAACAAAGAATGAGGGGCTGATTGGTTAGTACTGTAGGGTTTTGTTTAACAGCCAAATGTTATTTTTTCACTCCTATTTTAATCACGCTGTAAACAAATTGTGTGCAGATGTGATGGGCTTCCTCCATGGATTTGGCGCCTTGCAAGAGTACAAGAATGAGTTTGGAACTTCCAAGAGACTAAACCTCACTCTTGCTGACAAAAAGTAAGAACCACTCCCTGAGATTTTTTTAAGAACATATTAACAAAGTCACATTCCTCACGTGATAACTTGACTAGCCAAATGTTACCCGCAGTGAACGCACAATAAATGTGGTGCTATTTGGTACTTGCGCAGTCAACACATTTAACAGCAAGAGTCATGAACTCCAGCCCCCTATTGTTGTGATGGTTAGGTTTGGCAGGCTTAACAAGCCTACGGGTAAATAATTCGTTCTCTAAGACATCCTCAGTTTCAATATCCTTACTCTCTATTTATTACTAATAATATGTCTGTCGTTATTAGCACATGGTCACATTACCAATGTGTTCGAAGCAACCAAGGTTTCATTCAATCCTAACATTCTAGAGGCGCAACTTTTACTACAAAGGTTACATTTGATGAAAATCTACTTCTGAATTATAAAATTGTTATTGATTTAAATTTATTTATCCAGTGAAAAAATTAATCCTCTACATTGATATTATTACTAGCCTTGATGAAACACTTGGAGGGAGCCAACGTTTCTCTCAGGTAACAAATGCCGATTATAGGCTTCTTGACAATGAGTCCCTGTTAACTTTTCCAACAAGGATCCATGTGGCTGAACTCTCCAAAATTAACAAGGTTAGAAAATATCTCTATTTATGCAAGCATTTTGCTGAGAGTTTTTAGAACTGCAATGGAATATTTTAAACCATGTTTTATAATACTAAATCTAGATTTAGATTCTCATATGAAACCGTGAGGTATATTGCCATCAAGGGCCTATTTTTATTTGGGTGAAATATCGAAGGAATGAAGTTAAACTGTTTGGTCCTTAAATATAAAATGATGTGATAGTCAAATGTAATTTGCCCTCTAATCATTCCTTAGGCACATAGTTGTCATCATGAAATTTTTATTAAAACCATTCTCTCCTTGACAATAGGCATGTGAGGTTGTGATCAAGGTTTTTGTTCAGAAAGTTGAAATCGCTTACGGCTGGGCTTACGATGGATGCGCATGCGACAGTAAACCATCACAAGAAAATGACAAACTTCAATGCAAAACTTGTAATAATGACGTTTTGGTCACCACGCCGAAGTATGGTTCTATGTTTTTTTCTATCTACACAAAACACACTTGCACCTCATTTATTTGAAATGCATTGATGAAAAATGAAAATTGCACTAAAACACTATCATACCAATTCGCAGATTTAAGGTCCATTATAAGGTGTTTGATTCAACGGGTAAATGTTCAGTCATATTTTTCAATCGTCTTGCTTCTAATCTCATTGGCTTCTCAGCTGAGGAGCTAAAGGAAAAGTCAGCAAAGGTTTGAGTCCATGATAACACTAAATTTGCTACTCATTGGCTACATTGTACATTTCTCACTGGTTGTTTCCATTTCAGGAGAAAAAAAAAACAAGGTTCTTTTCCTGAAGAACTAAGCAATTGCGTGGGTCAAGAAATGCTTATCAAGCTCAAAATCAAGGAAAACAACATCAAGTTTCGAAATAGCAGTATTGGAGTAACCCAGTACACTACTGATAAGGAGCTGCTACATCGGTTTACTTATTCTGACATTAAGGCATGAGGACAATTCTCCCTTTATGTCTTTCACCTAAATGTTTGAACTTAACATATTAAAACTACTGTGCACAATTATGTAGGGAAGTCAACTTAACGTAACTAATAATGTTACTTTTGAGCAGTCCGCAGTTGAGTCTTCTGTCTCACAGCAACCAACAACGTCATCATCAAGTGGCATAGTGAGTGAGGACGGTGACGCTCCAGTATCTCAGTTGCTTGCCTCTCCGGATTTATTGTCCAAACGTAAAACATACACGGCTGATACCTTTATTGATGTTGATGAGATGCGACTGTCTAACCACTCAACTTCGAACTCCAGCTATATGAAGCTACTGAAGAACATTAAAAGGGAAGAGTGAAGTTCAAGACTGATTTCTCAGCCTTCAATCGACGGCATTGTCTATTAGTTATCTAATGGGATTATGACTTGTGGTTTAATAAGGTGTTATGTGTTTTGATTATGTATTGAGGGATTTATGTTATTATGATTGAATTTCTCTCTAATGGGATTATGACTTGTGGTTTAATAAGGTGTTATGTGTTTTGATTATGTATTGAGGGATTTATGCTATTATGATCGAATTTCTCTTCCTAATTTAATTTAATAGTTTCAGGAGGAGTTTTAAAGCTAGATTTAAATCTAGATTGCATTTTGCTATCACTGATGAATGAAAATTACAAAATAACTACTAATTTAATTAAATTAAATATACACAATCAGATACTGTTCATATTTGTCTGATTTATATATCACTCAATAAATTAACTAACTTTTTACAAATTGTTACTATTACTATTACTCCTTCATCATCACAGTTCACCTAGATCTTTTTTAAATATATTAATTATTAATAATTAATAATCAATATAATTTTTCGGCACTTAATAATTAATCAAACTAATCAATTACACTTAAGTGTAAATTATTTTTATACTAATTAATTATTCCTATTATCTATTATGATTATACAATCTATTAAAATACTGCATTCTATTGTTATTTTAAATCTGTTAGATATACATGAAGGAAAATTGCTACTTTTAAATAAACATGGCTGTAATTTTATGAATGATGATATTCACAAAGGCCAGTGATGATGTTAAATAGTCTTTCTGTTTTTTTCATACCAATAATAATAATTTATTGTGAAATATAACTACTAATTTAATTAAATATACACAATTAGATATTGTTCATATTTGTCTGATTTATATATCACTCAATAAATTAACTAACTTTTTACAAATTGTTACTATTACTATTACTCCTTCATCATCACAGTTCACCTAGATCTTTTTTAGATATATTAATTATTAATAATAATTAATAATCAATATAATATTTCGGCACTTAATAATTAATCAAAATAATCAATTACACTTAAGTGTAAATTATTCCTATAATTAATTATTTTTAATGAGAAAGATTTCGGTTTGGTTATGCTGAGTGTTAGTCGAAAGCGCAAACAAGCTTGAGAACATAGTTTAATGGGTAGAAGAATACTATATGAATAAGAGATGAGTGCCTTGATTTATAGGACTAGAAAGAGCCAAACGCGTTTTAGATAAATGTGTTATATACATATATATTTGTATATGTGCGTCTCGGTCATGTTTGTAGGAATAGAAATTGCATAGTTAATTGAGCAATGCGCATATTTCCTTTTCAACCATTTGAAATGTCTGCAGGGGGAGGCTACGCAGAAGAAGCCGCTAAAACTTTTCTTTTACAGGCTCTAAAGGTAATGACGTATTGTCATCTTCAAGGAGTTGTTCATCGTGCTCTAAAACCAGAGTTGTCACCTGAAGTGCTCCATACCTCTAACAGTGTTGAAATAGATTTATGGAGTATTGGGGTGATAATTACAGCAATTGTTATGTATAATTTTAACCGATTGCAGCGTAACAGTCCAGTTCTTACATTTGCATCTCGTCTGTTGCAGTATAACAGCCAACTTAGTCCGTTTTTTTTTTGCATAGAGTGAACTGATACAAGGCATTGAATGACCCAATTAACAATCAATAATTGAGGGGCAAATCATCTCGTCTGTTGCAGTATAACAGCCAACTTAGTCCTTTTTTTTTTGCATAAAGTGAACTGATACAAGGCATTGAATGACCCAATTAACAATCAATAATTGAGGGGCAAATAACACCCCTGAGGAATGCAATGCAATTGCCATACTATCATGGCCTTTACCATCTTGCGTCCACACAGTTACCCTCTCTTTGCATCAGATTAACTTTTAACTTATTACACGCTCCACTGCCTTTATTTGGATTATCTCTATAGTGTTCCCACATTCGAAAGAAACCACATGGACAACACCGCATCTAGGCCCGACCTTTAAAGCTCTAAACAAGGCAAGTTTCCCTTTAGTTATGATGCTATATGTTAGTTGCTTTCTCTCTGCCCCATTGCTCAAGCAAAATTATATTCATCAACAAAAGGATTCGTGATTCTATTTAACAGTTGAATGATAGTTCATGGGGTTCCTTTAAAAATATTATATATATATATATGTGTGTGTGTGTGTATATAGATGTAGATTGCGTATGTACACATATGAACAACTAAAGCAATAGCTTAGAAAATTTAATCTATGTTGCATCTCTTAATTATTGTAGTGGTCATTATCAAACTACATGGTTTTACTATCTATATAATTTTTAAACATTATAAAATGCCACAAAATACCCTCTCGAAGACAGATCATACAAGTCATTAGCAGTAACCGTATTCATGTCTTGTGCTAATGACTGAAATAATTCAAAGACAGATCATACAAGTCATTATATACAAGAGTCAATCTTACACAAATCAAAGAAAAGACGGTTTCAGGACACAGCCAACGAAGATGCCACCGTCAATCCCATCCACGATCAGCATATCATAACAGGTACTTCCTCCTTCTCGAATAGATGTCTCATGTCATTAATTCCGATAATGCCTAGGATAAAGTTAGTTCCGTAGAAATATAGCAGCTTCATTTTCATAGTGATATTTCAAATCCAGGGGACAGAAGTGTTTCACCCCTCAATTTTTTAGCATAATTAATTTTATATTTTATATAATACGACAAAGGTCCAATTTCAGGTTCCAACTATGCCTCCAACATTTATTAATTTTGAAAAGAAATATACATATAAAGTCTCTAGGAAAAAAAAGGGCTTATAGCAACGAGCACTTTCCACAACTTGGGTAAACCTCAGGTTCAATCCGATAATGAATAATATAGGGAAATAGACCTTGCATGGAATTAATTTGTGCGTATATATTTGATGTTCACGAAACGGAAATAAAAAAATCAGTATATGATAAATTGAAAAAACAAATACATGACGCAAATACCATTTTTATAAAACCGGTTGATAAGACTAGGTTATTATCATCTTCGAAATTGTGGTTCTTTTTCGAAAAAAGGAAAAAAAAAATGAGTTACATTTCCTTAACTATCGCGATGGAGAACTCAATGAAGTGGCTGTTGTAATTGACCTTTTATTTTGTGAGAAAAATTCAGAAAATAGATATTAAATTTCAACATCTCAAATCAAATATTTTTGACTATTCTTGAAAAACAAATGACAATATATTTTTGTCATCATTTTTATTTAGAATTTTGAAATTGAGATTATGTTCTTTGCGATTTTCTCCACTTATTTTTTCAATAGAAGAGGTATTATGGCCTATTAAGAACACCGTTCCTCCTTTTCCCTACCGAACGTGTTCGGTAAGGAGGAAGAAAGTTTCATGAAACAGATATGTTTTCTTTTATCTTTTATCAACACAAACAAAAGGTAGTGTATTGCCCGCCAGTGAATAGGTAGTGTATGGTAATGATTCAACCAAGAGAAATAATTCCATGAAACCCCACCTTGCACACAGGTACTGGTATAGAAGTTGCCCATCATGACACACAAACGACCAGTGCCACTGAATGCACCCAGCCTCATGTGTCGGGTACAGGCTACTTAGATGATGGTGACGCCATCTACGAGTGTCAATTTTGTCGGGCCTTACTTTGGCTAGGTGAGCGCCTTAAGCGCTGCTCTTCTTCTGAATACCCACTTTTCTCAATTTGTTGCTGTCACGGCAAGGTTGTGGTGCCTTACCTCCAGAAGCCACCGGAACAATTCCAGCACCTTTTCTTCCAGAAAGGACATCCGAAATCTAAAAACTTCTTAGCAAACATCAGAGCATACAATAATATGTTCTGCTTCACTTCCATGGGAGGAAAGATTGACCATTCCCTCAACTCCCGTGGAGGCGGCCCCTACTCCTTCACCATGTCCGGACAAAACTATCATCTCTTGGGAAGCTTATTGCCACCTGAAGGATGCCCCCCTGTGTACTCACAGCTGTACATTTACGACACGGACAATGAAATAGGGAACCGAATGGCAGCGATCAGGTGCGTCCCCCTCATGCTACTTACATCCTCCATCACTATGTTCCCTCTACAACACGGCTCAAAATAAACGACTTGGCTTTGAATTGCAGGCACCATCCAGACAAATCGGGTGTTGATGAAGCCATTGCTCTCGACATTAAAGATTGCCTCGATCAGCATAATGCCCTGGTCAAGAAATACCGTATGGCATCGGAGATCCTTCGCAAAGACAACACTGCGGATGTTCGGCTACGGCTCCTCAGAGAATCAAACAATAGGAGCAGAAATTATGAGCTGCCCATGGCATCGGAGGTAGCCGCATCGATAGTCGGAGATTTTGATGAATCATATATCAACAGAGACATAATCATAGAAAAGAAAGCAGGCTCCTTGAAGCGCGTCCATGAACTACACAAGTCTTACTTGCCTCTTCAATATCCACTCATCTTCCACTACGGCAATAACGGATTCGTACCAAAGACGGAACATAACGACGTATCTCTTATTAGCACAAAGAAGAAAAAGTACCTCACAATATGAGAGTACCTCGCTTTCAGACTGATGGACAGAAATATAGAGGACTCCGTGTTACTACACTCAAAGAGGTTATTACAGCAATTCATTGTAGACGGCTTTGCAATGGTCGAGAGTGAGAGGCTTGACTATATAAGGAGACACCAAAGAGACCTCAGGGTTGACCTATACAAAGGACTCGCTGATGCAGTCACAAGAGGCGAAACAGATCCGTCCAACACAGGAAAGAGGGTAATCCTACCTTCTTCTTTCACCGGAGGTGCTAGATACATGATCCACAACTACCGGGATGCAATGGCCATATGCAGATGGGCAGGATACCCTGACATCTTCCTAACATTCACTTGCAACCCCGCATGGCCTGAGATAACAAGATTCTGCCATAAACACAGCCTCAGCCCATCTGATCGACCTGACATATTGACAAGGATGTTCAGCCTCAAACTTGCAGCACTAATGAAATGTATTAAGGAGAAAAAAATATTCGGCACACTCAAAGCAGGTAATAATACAACCTCCCTTTAATCACCTCTCCACAGTAACTCCAAAATACACCATTGTTGTATATTAATATGCGGAATTTCAGAGATATATACGATAGAGTTCCAAAAGCGGGGACTGCCACATGCACACATCATTCTATTCATAGAGCCATGTGACAAACCCAAGGCAGCTGAGGACGTTGACAGAATCATTTCAGCAGAGATACCAGACAAAGACACAGACCCTGCACTGTACGAGCTCGTCACTAATTTCATGATCCATGGACCCTGTGGCAGCTCTAAGCAAAAATCACCTTGCATGAAGGACGGAAAGTGCTCAAAGTACTTCCCCAGAAGATATGCCGCACACACAACAATAGACGATGAGGGGTACCCCACATATCGCAGGAGGAACAATGGCAGAACGACTATGAAAAAAGGGATTCAGTTGGACAACAGATATGTCGTGCCGTACAACGCCCAACTATTACGGCTCTTCCAGGGCCACTTGAATGTCGAGAAGACAAACCAATCAAGGGCCATCAAATATTTGTTCAAATACATCAGCAAGGGCCATGACCGTGTCATCGCAGGGATCTACCACAATGATGAGCTCGGCAGCTCACAACGTGATTTCGATGAGATCTCACATTACCTTAATTGCAGATACATCTCAGCCTGCGAAGGCGCATGGCGAATATTCTCATTTGACATTCACTGTAGATACCCCTCTGTCGAGAGGTTGAGCTTCCATCTCCCAGATCAGCAGGCTGTTTTTTACACGGCCAATGACGAAATGCCTTCATTGGTTGAAAGGCCCCGGGTGAAGGAGTCAATGTTTCTCGGATGGCTCGCCAAGAATAAAGAAGACTCATTCGCAAGGACCTTAACATATACAGAGTTTCCACAGTATTACACTTTCAATAAGCAAAAGAGGGAATGGAGGATGCGCCAGAGAGGATTCTCTGTTGGCAGATTAGCTCATGTATCACCATCACAAGGTGAGGCTTACTACCTTCGGGTCCTGCTGACTAAGATGAGAGGGCCTCTCAGCTACAGAGACATCAGGACAGTAGACAACGTCGTCCAGCCAACATTTAGGGACGCGTGCTACGCGCTGGGGTTGCTTCAGGATGATCAAGAGTACATCGACGCGGTAAAAGAGGCGGCCTTTTGGGCTACAGGTCAATACCTCAGGAGATTCTTCGTCAGCATGCTCTTATGCCATTGCTTGTCTAATCCCATTTTAGTCTGGGAGCAAACAAAGCATCTCATATGTGAAGACCTTCTGTACATACCACGGCACGACCCACGACATCAAGGTAGAATAGACATCACCTAAACTATGTTTCACTCACACAACATTCTGGACATATAATGACATCTCTCACCTTTTTTGACCTGCAGAAGTATCAATCACCGACTCAGATAAGGAGGAAGCTGGACTCATTGAGATTCAAAGGCTGCTCCTAAAGAATGGAAGGTCACTGGATGACTACCCATCACTGCCAAAACCAACCTCCACCGAATTCTTGGACACAACAAACAATTTGCTACTCCAGGAACTTAGCCATGACAAAGATGCTTGTGCCGCGGATGTCGCAAGGTTGGTAGCCTCATTGACAGATGAGCAAATAAAGATATTCCACGAGGTCCTCAATGCGGTCAGCCGGACAACCGGTGGGTTCTACTTCGTCTACGGTTACGGGGGCACTGGCAAGACCTTTCTTTGGAACGCCCTGACCGCGGCAGTACGGGCAAATGGAGATGTGGTCATCAACGTCGCATCGAGCGGAATAGCAGCGACTCTACTGCCCTCAGGAAGGACTGCTCATTCGAGATTCGCAATCCCCATTGACATAAATGAAGACTCCACATGTAACATCAGCCATGGTTCCCCTGTGTCTCACTTACTGCGGTCTGCAAAATTAATCATCTGGGATGAGGCGCCAATGATAAAACGGCACTGTGTGGAGGCTGTCGATCGAACGTTAAAGGACATAATGAGGTGCGACCTCCCATTCGGCGGCAAGTGCGTCGTCATGGGGGGAGATTTTAGGCAAATATTGCCTGTCATACCGAAGGGATCCCGTGCAGACATTATAAACGCCGCTATAAACTCATCCGTTCTTTGGTCGGCGTGCAAGCTGTTCCAGCTCACTAAAAACATGCGCCTGCAGACGGCATCAGAGGCAATAGACCAAAAAAGGATCAGTAAATTTTCCAAATGGTTGCTTGACATTGGTGACGGTATAATTGGACTACCCCATGAGGGCACGACGGACATTGAGATCCCGGTCGATTTCCTCATCACAGACTCCCTTGACCCTATCCACTCTATAGTCTCATCCACATATCCAGCACTCCACCAAAACATCATGCATCCAAACTACCTCACAGAAAGGGCGATTCTGGCCCCCACGACCGATGTCATCGACCAGATAAACGATTACATGCTGTCACTCCTCCCTGGAGAGTCCGTTCAGTATCTCAGCTCCGACTCTGTCTCCAGCACCGATCAGGACAGCAGCTCATTCCAGGATTTGTACTCCACAGAATTCCTCAACACCATAAATTGCTCCGGGATGCCACCGCACAAGCTCTCTTTGAAGGTCGGAATACCAGTCATGCTGGTGCGAAATATCGACCAGTCTGCAGGCCTATGCAATGGAACAAGGCTGAGGATCACATATCTGGGCAAGAACTTCATCAGGGCGATAGCATTAAACGGAACGAGCGCAGGTGACCAGGTCCTCATCCACCGCATGGACATGAATCCGTCAGAGACCACCCTCCCGTTCAGAATGACCAGATGACAATTCCCGTTCATAATCTCTTTTGCGATGACCATCAACAAGAGCCAGGGCCAGTCATTAACAAACGTCGGTTTGTACCTGCCAAGACCGGTGTTCACGCATGGACAGCTGTATGTTGCATTGTCAAGGGTCAAGAATGTGGACGGTCTCAAAATATTGATCCTTGATTCTAACAGTAAACCCACGGACGTTACTAGAAATGTTGTCTACAGGGAAGTCTTCCAGAATGTGCATTTGGAGTGACCTCATTCTCATTATCGTGGGCCGACTACAGTCTTCGCACTATTACTATGACGACTTCCTTCGACAGTACTTCATAGTTCATCTCCTCTGTCTTGAATTTATCAGATAGAATAATGCATACTTAACAAAGACCCTCCATAAAGAATAGTTCCGCACGTGAAAGATTCTGTCGGGGAGTCTTCCACCAACGTTACCTATGGTGTGGCTTCTTGGGAGGTCTTTCAGAATGTCCTTTCCAAGTGACCACATCATCCATTTCGCGAACAACCTTTCAACTTTGTAGTATCAATATGACAACTGCCATTATTATGCCACGTCGAGAGCTCTATGACTTTGCGATTAACTTACATGCATAGCAACCATCCGTGCAGCGCACGGGGAGAAAATCCTAGTTACAAAGAAAGTGTCACGCAAGAAAAAAAAATTACAAAGAAAGTGAACTAGTTGAATGCCTGCATAATTTAGTTAATATAATTACAAAATAATTGTTAGAAAAATTAATTCACTTTTCTATTAAAAATATTTCATTATAAATTATTAATTTTTAGATTCTATCAATCAGATGCTACCTTTATTAAAATAAAAGATAATTATTCCCTATTAAATGTCGCCATTATAAGTTTCAAATTTAGGGAGATAATGGTCTATTTTATAAGTTTTAATTTGAGTTTATCTCAACATGTTTGATGCTTTTAAATTTACCCTTAATTATTATTTATTTGCCATGCACACTCTCTCATTACATTTTCTCTATCCATCTCTTTCATCATTTTCTCATTTATTATCTCTTTCATTTACCCTCTTTATAATAAAAGCATGTTTGAAAAAATGTATTTCTTATCTATTTATTGTTTTTTTACTAATTTTATTTGATTTTTTGTTATATGCAAATTGATCATTTGAAGTTTAGAATAAAGATGAAAGGGGATAATTATTTTTTAATCATGTCTAAATGACATTGTTTTTATAAGAAATGTTCCACTTACACGGATGTTATCGAGAATAAAATAGATGAAACAAGTTGAGGAGCGTGGCTATATATACGAGGTAAGAAATTATAACCCAAAGAGGGAAAGAGAAGAAAGGACTATCTAAGTAGCTGGTATATCTTTCAAAAGGAGAAAAGGGATGACCGTTATATATATAGTAGCATGAAGATAATTGTTTTATAATGAATAGAAAACAATATAGCATGAAGATAATTATTTTATAATGAATAGAAAACAATATGGGGTCATTAAAAATTAATTCCAAAATCAAGCTCGTCATAATAATTTGGCTGATATTAAAATAATTTTTTAAAAATAATAATTCATAGAATTGTATCAAAAAAGTAATTCATAGAAAATATACAATAATATCTATTTAATTTGAGCAAGAAACAACTCAAAATAAGGATTGAATAACAATAAAATTAAAGTTATAACAAGAAAGCTAGTATAAACTACAATTGATTTTGGTAATGATCTTAGCTTATTAATTGATAAATTATTATAGCCACAATCATGCACTTTTCGATGTCTGCCTTTCCTTTTAAATTATTATAGCTTCAATAACTTCTTTGTGTGACAATGTCAGCACATAAGTATACTCTTATCCTACAGATAAATTGGATTGTATATTCAATCCAATGTTTAAACTAGATATTTCCCAACTAGCTAAGTGTTTGTTGCAAGTGCACGAGTTATCATAGATACGGTACAGAAGAAAAGATTGGTCCAATAATTCCATAAATTGCGCCACCAAACTAGGTTAGCCTTAGGGGTATGTATGGATTAGACTGAACCGAGTTTGTTATCAACTTGAAATCTAGTCCAGTAAAGACCTCGGACTGAAAAAGACAGCTCAAGATTTGGTCCAGTCCACTACCAACCCAAGGTAGGGTTGGATTGGACTTGGTCTATGGACTGCCTGGACTAGTCCAAGATCTCAATTTAATTTTTTTCTTCAATGGGAGGCAAGATTGCAACTTATTGTCTAAAAGTTTACCCATGTTTTGATCTAAACTTCATCAAATTTGATCTTTCCCTTTCAATTTATTAATAATGTCATGTTTCATTTATTAATCCCCATTAATATGGATATTATATTATAGAAAATACAAACACATGCTCATTACTTAGGAAGTTAATAGATAAATCTTGATTATTTGAATAGACAAAAAACTTATATAGAAGAATTAGAACAAATTAAAATTATTTAAATAATAGTTAAAAATTAAAAAAAATCGGGCAAAACTGGACTGGACCAACTAGTCTGAGGGATTAGTCCCCAATCCAGTCTAGCTCGATGAGACTAGTCTAGTCCATTTTGATCTAGTCTTGTTTCAGGCCAATTTTTTCTGGACTAGACTGGATGGGGTTTGCTCGGGTTGGATGGGACTATACCGGACCACTGGACTGACTTAGCCTTATATACTCTAGCTAGTACCTAGTAGCCTAGAATTCAAAGGGCGTTTGGAAAAGCTTGCTCTATTTAAGAATGAGTGGTTAATTCCATTAATTACTCATGCTCTTTTGCAACTAACAAAATTCGACTTTTAAGCTCCGATCCTAATTTAGCTATACAAAGCTAATTCATGTATCTATCTCACCAACATAACTAACCATTCAATTTATAGCGTTTTAGCTCTTGCTTCTTCTAATCCCTATTATAGGACCCCTTTTACAAGGTATTTTGGTCTGTTTTATAAGATCCTTTGAAAATTTCAGTAAGTATTAAATATTTTTCCATATACATCTCATTAGGATAGAGAGAGTGGATTAATATGATTGTTAGAATTTAATGTAATTAATAACGAAAATATTAAAAATTATTTGAATTTTATGAAAAATTAATTTTATATTTTTAGCTATTTTTAATTAGTATGTGTGAATTAATTAGAATGTCTTTATAATAAGGATAATAGGTAATATATGATTAACAGCTTTTTCGGCACTCAAATTAAACAAACTTTTTCTAGCATCACTCAAATAAATAAAACAACTAATTGATGACCATATTTACTTTCAACAGTAATTTCTATTGTTTATGAAAGTCAAAAAGTCACCCCTAAAAATTTTCAGTGGTAATAAAAAAAGTTGCCACCAAGTCATCTCCCCAACAGTAACAAAATGAGTCACCGTTGAATATGGTTTCAACATAAAAAAATGTTGTCACTGAAAATTAAATCGCCATTGAAACTATACTTTCAGTGACGAGAAAAAGTTACGGCTGAAGGTGCCTTCACCACGACCTTAGTTTTCTATACCATCCGAAATTCTTAATTAACGTTAGAGCCTAATTACCAAGGATATTTTGGATTTGAATAGTAAGCTGGGAAAGAGAAGAGCACTTTTTCCTAAAGGTGATTTGCCGCAAAATTCTCACTTCAACAGAGTTTTTTTTATTAAAAAAAATACCTCCTCTCGTTGTTTTTATAATAAGATACGAGTAATCAAACTATGTAGATTAAAAAATTGATTAAAATTTGCTAAAAGGTAATAAATGTGTAAGAACTACAATTTATTTTCTAAAAATAAATTTATTTATAGCGAGAGAGTGAGAGAGAGAGAGTGGGCAAATATAAATTAATACAGTGTGACTAACTAATAATTAATAAAAATATAAAATAATATTAAAAATTTTAAATAATCTATTAGTATTTCTTATAAATAAAAACATATTATTCCTCAAATATTATATAATCATATTTTAAAGGAAATAATCAATCTTGCTTGCTTTCCTGTGTTTATGGGAACCTAATTTCTTATTACATAAGAGCTTGTGGGATGATTTCATTCATTTGCAGCAGCATCTCTGGTGCTTGGTTGTTATTGGAGACTTTAATACCTATATGGCTACATGTATATCATTGATAAAATCGGGGGTTCTACTCCAAATACTAATTCTATGAGAAAATTCACTGCTTGCATTGACAGATTAGAGCTAGTTGGGATTAATTAAGTTGGAGAAAGTTATACTTGGGAAAGGAATATGATAAAAGAAAGAATTGATTTGGCATTTGCAAACTCCTCTTGGTTTAATCTGTTTACTTTTTCTAAGGTTCACCGCCTTCGCAAGTTTGAATTAGATCATCGGCATTTGTAATAAAGAGGATTCCAGATTCTCCGAACAAAAATTTCAAATCCCCATTTAGATGTCAAATGCCTGGGTTTTAGAAAAGGATTTTATTTTATTTTTTTAAAAGAAAAAGAAGAGCATCTTATTGATATTATGAAGAAAAGCTGGAATTATGGCTGATGGGAGGAAAGTATTGGTTACTTTACAAGGGAACTGAACAGTAGAACAAGAAGAAAATTGGTAACATTCCCAACAAAAAGAAGAGGCTTATGAAAATAATTGAAGGCCTTCAAAGAGCTAGAAGGCTGAGGGATAAGCAACACTTGGCCAAAGTTGAAAATGATTTATGGAGGGAGTACAATAAAGTTTTAGAAAATCAAATTTTGAAGCCAAAACATGTCAAATGAAGTCACATTGTGTGTCATTATGCTTAAAAAATCAAATTTAGAAAAATCACTTTCTCGAGTTACTATTTATTTGGTAACTCTAAAATCTAAAATTTTGGCTAACTTTGAAAATTCATAACTAATTATAAAATACTTAAAATGATGTGGTTCTAAGTTCTGTTTGAAGATCTTTTACTTCTCTATATAGAAAAATACTCATTGGTTTATTTTCTTTACCAACCAAGCTCCATATTTCATGTAACAAGTACTATTCATTTGGTCAATTTTTTAATTTTTAGTTTTTTTACC